GAGGCGCCGGCCCGGCGCGGGGGCGCGGAGACGTGGGGGCCGGGCCGCCGGAGCCTGTCTCTCTGCGGGGCTTCTGGGAGCCTGCTCCAGAGAGACTCCCCAACTTACTGCCTTTCACACAGACTCTCCCGCCCCTCGACCTTCCCCAGACCACCCTAACGCGGTGCCTCTCCTCGAGCGCGTTGAGCCCCCAGACTTGGGTCGTGGGAAGCATGCTGCATGGGAGTGTGGCGAGAAAGGCGTTCGGGCTGGACACAGTATTGAACCTATTTGCGTTATGCCTGCCTATTCTGTATATAGGAGATAGTAGCTTATCAGAGAGAGGTGGTGTGGGGAATGAAGGAGGTGAGGCGTGGAAAGCTCTTCGCACACGGTAGGGGTGGAAAAGGCAGATGACAGTGACGTTAACGGAGCTTGAACTTAAAGGTCCTTCTTTTGCACGGTCCCCTACGTGTTTACAAAATCATCGTTTTTGTAAAACTGTCCAAATATATTTTTGAATTTTCCTTAATGATGTCCTCCAAATTGTGCAGGCGTCAGGTCCCACAAAACCTGGATCTGCCCGTGGCCCAACCATACTCAATAGCTCTCAGGAAAGATCCCCCGACCATAAGTTTTCCTGAGTTGGAGAGGCATCGACTCTGGAAACTTTATCATTAGCATAAATTTCATTCCACTATAGATGCTGCCCATATGGATTATAATAGATTGTCCCTAGCCACCAGCAGCGAGGAAAGGAAAGAAAGTGCAAAAAATAAGTCTGCTACACCTTAGTTCCAGGACCAGTAGCTGAGCATTTAGCCTCCCCTAAAACACACACACCAAACATTCTGTCATTTTGACAAGATCAGAATGGCAGGGTTGGAAAATTTATATCTTTTTCTAACCCAAGTATCCAATGAATCAAGAATGTCTTCTAATAAATGGTAACATCCACATTCCCATATCCTGGGGATAAAAGTGAAATGCGTATGTTTCTCCAAGTAATCTTTCCATCAATGAGGGCAGACTTTGGCTTACATGGCGGGTCTTTGCTTTTCTCTCCTCCTGAACTCCAGCCATAAGCTACTAAGCAAACTACTAGGCGATGATTGTATTTTCTCAAAGGAGAGTAAAGTGGTTATTGGAAGTTTCATTCTTGGCCAAGAATATTGGAAGCCTTCTCTATAGGCCAAATCTGGCTTGAAGACATATTTTGTTCATCCAAGGCTATATTTAAATTCTTAGAATTGTTAACATTAAAAAAAATCATTTTGTATATCTGGATTTTCAGCTTCTCTTGACAAAGATCTGGCAACACTGGGCCCTGCTGCATTCCTGCAAGGGAATAATCAGAGTAGTGGCTGCCCTCTTTAGGAGAGTATGCTATCCCATTTCCAGTTGGCTACATTCCCCACCTGGCACTCTTCACCCTTTTATGTAACCTGCCTAGTCTCTACAGGCATCTTAGTTGTGATCTCTGGGCCAGGCAAACAGAATGTGATCCACGTGTGTGTGGAGGGTAATCCAAGAAGGCCAGACAAATGGGCCATCCAGAAAAAAATGTTGGATCCATACCCCTCCACTCTACACTAGGATAAATTCCAGATGTGTCAAAGATTTAAATGCAAAAAATAAAACTATAATTTGTTTATAACTTCTGAGTACAAAGGACCTTTCTACTATGATATAAAATCTAGAGGATACATTCTATTTTTAAAAATGTATTGGGGGAAAAAATACCACAAACTAAGCCAAAAGGCAAATGACAAACTGGAAAAAATACCTGCAATTCATTTCCTAGAATTAATTTCCCTAATATTTAAGAGTTCCTATAAATTAAAAAGACTAAAACTCAGTAAGAAAATAAAGGATAAAAGATAGGAAAAGACAGTTTACAGAAAAGGAAATATAAATGTCTCAAACACATTAAAGACGCTTAACTTTACTCAAATTATGAAAAATGCAAATTTAAATTATATTGTTATTTTTACCTATTTGAATAGCACAGATAAAAAAGTTTGATTATACACTATTTTGGTCAGAGAATGGAGAAACAGGTACTCTATTATTGGTGAGAGTGTAAACTAGTTCAACTTCTATCAAGGACAACTTTACAATATGAAAGTTGCAAAGGCACATACCCTTTGACCTAGCAAACTCTAGGAATTTGTCCTATAGGTATACTTGCTCAAATGTGAAATGACTTACCACAAGATTACTCATTGCAGTACTGTTGTAGCAAAAACAAAACAAAAATACCCTGGAAATAAACAATTTAAATAATCATCAGTAAGAATAAGGGACTGGTTCAACAAAAAATAGTAAATCCATAGAATGGAACCTATCAAGTCATTTTAAAAGAACCAGATCACTGTGTTCAGGCCACTTGAATGTTCTCAAAGTTACACTACAAAGTGAAAAGAGCAAGATGTATAATATAGTATTCAGAGTATGCTACCACTTACATCAAAAAATGAAGGCAATGTATTTTATTATATATAAATATTTCTGCGAAGTTGCACAAGATAGTGACAATTCTTGTTGCCTCAGGAATGAGGACCAGGTGGCTGGAGGAGGGAGGACTTTTCACTGTGAACTTTCTTGTGATTTTCAACCATACGAATGTTGTATTTATTCAAAACATTATTTAAAAACCTTTTTTTTTTTCTCTCTCCCCATGCCCCAACTTGTGCCAGTGTTATAACTCACAGTGTGTCTTTACACACTGGATAAAAGCTATTTTTAAGTAAAAATTTTCTAACCTCATTATAAGCACCTATTCCAAGTGTTAAAAAAAAATGCAGCTATTGCCCTGGCTGGGTGGCTCAGTTGGTTGGAGTGTCATCCCATACACCAAAAGGGTTGCAGGTTCGATTTCTGGTCAGAGTACATGCCTAGGTCGTGGGTTCAATCCCTGCTCAGGGTGCTTGCTGGAGGCAACCAATCTATGTTTTTCTCACATCAGTGTTTCTCCCTCTCTCTCTCCTGCCCCCCCACCCCGCTTCCTCACTCTCTAAAATCAATGAAAACATATCCTTGAGTGAGGATTTTAAAAAATGCAACTATTAAACACACTAATACTATAAGAGGGAGGGCCTGTGGATATATAACAAAAAGCTCAATCATAAATTTGAATTAAAATTAATATGCTATCATAGTAATAATTTGATAGTAATTTTAACTTTTTAAAATTTAGAATATCTTTTGGGAGACAACTTGAATGACCCAAGCACATCTCAGATTTTAAAAGGCAGTTGAAATTTTACCACCAATATTCTCCCACTGAAAGCATTTTCGAGAAGTACTTACTCAACATTTCTCCCATGTACTCTCTCTTCCTCAATTTATTTAAAGCTACAAGTGCTGTCAGTCAGTAGCAAACCAAAGCAACACCACAGGAAACAATAAATGTCATTGTCACTCACTTTCATGGTTCGTTGCTGTAGCTAACTTTGGTTCTCTTACAGTCCACCTGCTGGAAATAATTTGGAACAGGTAATCAGACAGATTGTTTGCCCTGTAATGGGAGGCTGATGCCCAGAAGCCCAACCCCCTGTAAGAGATAACATGCCAGAAATGTCTTCCCAAGAACTTTAATTTTTAATAAATTTCCAAAAGATTGATTATTTAACTCTCTTCCCCCCAACCTCCACCCAACAGAAAGCACTGTGTGTTTATATGCTATAGACATTCTGCTATGAAACAAAAATAATGTCCTTTGGTGCTCTGCGGTATAAAGATGACAGAGGTCAGCCAGATATTGCCACCATCAGAAATCCATTTTTGTAAGTGGGCAAGTGCTCCACTTTTTACCCAAAATATCAACTACTCTACCTCATTTCTATATTATATTCAAATACAGAAGGTTTTTGTTTTTACTTTTAAGATTGGCTGCTATCTAAAGCTAGTTCAAGTTTTACACACAAAACATTTATTTGAATCAGAGTTTTTATGAAACTAAAACTCATGTTCACAACACCAAGGCTCATTAAAATATTTTTAATATTAATATACATTTTCTTCTCTTTCAGTAATACACAAAACTTTTAAATATTATATTAGTGTTACATAACAAAACCCAATTGACATAAATACAAAATGTTTTACAAGAGAATAACACATATTCAAGACACTTTAATTTTTTTCACTTGTATTTTTGGGAGGTATAGTACAGACCCACCTGGAATGAGGGTTGCTTTAATTAGGGCAGTTATTTTTGTAATTTCAGTCTTTCACAGCTTAGTGCATATGCAATCTTACTGTTGGTGAAATAGAGAATTGTAATATTTTCCATTTCTTAACAGTCTTGTTATGGAACAGAAAAATATACTGTCACATTTCTTGCAGGAATCAGTTGTTATGAAGAACCATTAGGGCTTGTTTCTTCTGTGAATGGTTTCTGAATGCTTTAAATATGCTCATCCCAAGTTTTGAATAATTGCCTAGCCTATTTACCTGGGATGCGCTTCTTTTTGAACATAAGCAGATGATGTGTAGCCTTTCAAATTAATGGGTGAGGTAGTTCGATCAGTGTAATCAAGGAGGCTTGATGTGAAAGGAAAAAAACAAAAAAGCTTTTTCTATCAACCAAAGTGCACATACCTCTAACTCATCCATCACACGTCTTTGGAGTGATAAGAGGAAAGAAATAACAAAGAGGGTATGGTTAACCCTGAGAGTACAGGTGAGGGAATGGGTGAAAATCTCACCTAAGAGGTGGTTCCGTAATAAGTTTCCCCAATCAGTAGGCAGCCTTATTTTCATTTATATTTCTATTTTCCAACTTTCTGAATTGCAAGAATCCTTTCAACAGATACCACACACATATATACAGTATATAATATAAAGTATGGCACTGGCCAACGATTTAAAATACTCATGAAGTACACATGAATGTAAGGCACTTGCGCGGTTTATAAAAGTGAATGCCTCAAAGTCAGGTATTTTCCAAAAATGAAGAAATATCCTCATAAAGTTGACAGGAGCCCTGAAAAACCAAGTTGGCATGAATTGTTAGTGACCTTGGCCAACATCTGAGAACCTTGGTGTAACTCAAGAGCAGAGATAAGAGGTAAATGGTTTTTAAATTACAGAGTTCTGTATATCAGTGCCAGGATTCTAAAGCTGCTCTCATAAAAACCTATTGGTTCTATGTTCTTTCAGCTTCTCAACAACAGAAAACTGACGAGTCGGCAACAACCATTCATAGTGTACTGCTGCTGTTTAGATTTGGCGATGACACCACCCCAAGTCAGTTATAAAGAGACTGGGAATAAAAAAGGCTTTGAGTTTCTCTGCAAATATTACAGCTCAGTAGAATCTTACTCAAACTACTTAAAAATGTGAAATTTCATGTATTTTTTTAAAATCAAGAATTCCCAAGTACAAATATTGTTGCTCTAAATATGAGCTTTTCTATAACTTCAAAATTAAAAGGTTTGCAACTTATAATACATTATATTTTCCTGCCTATAAGAGACAAAAAAGCTTAGACATTATATAGGCAAAAAGTTAAGGAAATATGCAAATCTCTATGCCATCATTTGGAGAAATTCCAAAAGAGCCAAATCTCTAGATCATGGTTAGTGAGGACAGGTCATTAAAAAAGTCAAGGATTCAGGACAGATGCCACTGTACCTTTCCTCTTTATTCACAAAGTAAAAGAGCATGGATTTTAAAGTTATTACTATGTTACATCAGTTTAACAATTCAGTGGTTATTAAATGAGATAACTAAATATGCTATTTTCAAACCATTTTTCTTAAAGAATGTAATTAGTACATTCTTGTGGATGTTGCTGAATGTGGAGACTAGCTCCTTTCATTATTTACAATTTAAATCTTTGTTGCACTTCATCTGCAATCATTCCAGAAATTGCAAGGGAAGAAGTAGCAGCAGGGGAAGGTGCATTTCTCACATGAAGAATGCGTTCTCCAATAACCCCAACTCCTCCATCAAATACAAAATCTTCTATAAGATTTCCATCTTGATCCAGAGCTTGGGCTCTTACTCCAGCTGGACCTCTGCAAAACCAAGAGTGGCAGTCAACTTACTGGAAGAGACAGGATACTTTATAAGTCAGTGATCTCAAAATATTCTTAAAGCATTAAAATCTTTATTCTTCTAAATGCACAATCATGTGGAAACCCAAGAGGTTTGTCAGTCATAGCCTGTAAAACTTATGTCCTCAGTCTACAGCATAATGCCTGCCACACAACAGTGCCAATAAATGCTTATTGAATGAATATACAAATGGGTTAGTTATAAATATCTGTTCTTTCCAAAAGTAGCAGATAAATCCATATTTAATTAGAATAAATGTACTTTTATTTAAATTTATAAAATGAATTTATTATAAAACAAATCAATGAAAATAATAAGGCTCTTCTGATTAATACAAAGCAATTAAAAATAGGAGATATGTATATCTGTGCATTCTTATATCCACTACAGAATTCTATTTTTGTGTTTTGTTTTGATTGTACACTATTACAATTTATGGAGAAATATATTTGGAAATGGCAGCAAGTTCTTATTTTGTAGTTTGTTTAAATTTTCAATAGTTTAGCCTTCAATATCAGGCTAACCTTCAATTAATTAAACAGAAGTAACAGGATAAGGTAAAAAATAAATTAACTTAATAGTAAGTTAATACAGTAAGAGTCTTTATTACTAAAAGTGCTGTTTTATAACACTTGAGTTTACAAATTAGATTTTTTGTTTTTAAAATAGTTTAAAAATTTACAGATGAAATCTGAATAAAATATTTCTGGAATCTAAAAGTACCTTCATTGAATCTGCTCAAGAAAACAGAGTTTGAAAACATTGCCTTATACACACCACCAAGACTCAAGAAATCAGACAATAATATGAAACATTTTTATTGATTCTGGACCAGTGTAGATAAGTACTTGAGGAACATACAGAGAACAATATGGGAACACTGCCCTCTAAGACCTTGGCCTGGCTGAGAGAGAGTGATAATAATAGCTATTATTTACCAAGTGCTTACTCAGTGTTAGGAATTCTTTCATTTAATCCTTGCAACAACTCTAAGAGGCTGATAACAGTTTATATTTAACGGTGAAGAAACACAGAGTGATTAAGTAACTTGTCTGAAGTTACACAGCTATACCATTCAGTTGTAGAGAAGTAAGTAAAGATTACAACAAGGGTGAAAGTTTCTACAATAAAAGTAAGGAATCTGCCCTATAGAAGCCTGCAGGGAATCTGGGCAAGAGAGTTTTGAGCTTAAGGATTTCCAAGAAAGAATGAGATACAATACTTAGAACACAACAAGATACAGATGGCCAACAGACATATGAAAAGATGCTCAACATCACTAATAACCTGTGAAATGCAAATTAAAACCACAATGAGATACTAACTCACACCTTTCAGAATGGCTATCATCAATAAATCAACAAACAACAAGTGCTGGTGAGGATGTGGAATAAAGAGAAACCTCGTGCCTTGTTGGTGGGAATGAAGATTGGTGCAGTCACTGCATGGAGTTCCCTCAAAAAATTAAAAATAAAACTGCCTTTTGACCCAGCAATTCTACTTCTAGGAATATATCTGAAACACTAATTTGAAAGAATATATGCACCCCTATGTTCACTGTAGCATTATTTACAATAGCCAAGATTTGGAAGCAGCCCATATGCCCATCAGTAGATGAGTGGATAAAAAAGCTTGGTACATTTAAAAATGGAGTACTACTAGGCCATAAAAAGGAGAAGGAAATCTTACCCTTTGTAAAAGTATGGATGGACTTGAAGAATATTGTAACAATGGTGATTGTAACCCTCCCAATCATTCTTTTGACATTGTTTATGTAAATACTGACTCTGACTAATGTGTAGCTTGTAGATAAACAGCATGTTTGTATAAGAATCCTAGAAACTAACTTCAGAAGATAGAGATATGCTGACCTTCAAATGTAAAACCAGGATGACCTAGAACCAGGATGACACAGAAGCAGACAGACATCAGACCATCATGTGACCAGATTCAAGGTCCTTATTGGAATGGACTGTGCTGGACTGCACGTAGAGAACTTTTCACCCTCCTCCCCTTGGTTTCTTTGTTCTGCTTTCCCTCTCCCTCCTTATAAAAACCTCTGCGTGCACTGATATGTTGAGATGGGCTTTGCAACAAGAGTTCCCCATCTTCTCAGGTAACTGGCACTTAAATAAACCACTTTCCTTTTTCACTAGCATCTGTCTCATGAGTTTGGTTTTTGTGGCAGCAGACAGCCAAACTTGGGTTAGGGTTACAGTATTATGCTAAGTAAAATAAACCAGTCAGAGAAAGACAAGTGCCATATGATTTCACTTATATGTGGAATCTAATGAACAAAATAAACTAACAAAATAGAAACAGACNNAAGGGGATAGAGGGCTGGGTGAAAAAGGTAAAGAGATTAAGGGGGGAAAAATAAAAGCCTCATAGACTAACAACAGTACGGTGATTACCAGAGAGAAAAGGGGGTGGGGGGAGGTAGGAGAGGGTAAGGTGGAGAGAAATGGTGATGGAAGGAGACTTGACTTGGGGTGGTGAACACAGTACAATACACAGATGATGTATTATAGAATTGTACCCCTGAAATCCATAATTTTATTAACCAATGTCACCCCAATAAATTCAATTAAAAAAAAAAGTCACATCTTAAGACACCATTTAAAAAAAAAAAAAGAACACAGCAAGATGGAATGGGACTGAAGCTAAAATTTCTTAAGGTAAGGATCCATATCAGTGTATCATTTTGTACATTCTGTATTTGAAGCTCATCTCATCAAAGCAACATTTCTCCCCTTTTCCTGGAAAATGCAGCTGTTTCTATTGAGAGTATTACTATGAGTTACTTGTCGCTCTCCTTTTATCTGACAGAAGACCAACATGTAGGGGATACACAGTGCCATAACCAGGCACTGATGTTGTGTGGAAAATTTCCTTTATACGAAGGTTTAGTTAGAACATTCCCCTTAGTCCTTCTAAACAAACAGAAGTTAATAGTCATTAACTACAATTAAAAATGTATCTACTTTTGCCCTGGCCGGTTTGGCTCAGTGGTTAGAGTGTCAGCCCATGGACTGAAGGGTCTCAGGTTTGATTCAGGCCAAGGACACGTACCTAGGTTGTAGGCTCGATCTCCAGCCCTGGTCAAGGCACGTGCAGGAGGCAACCAATAGATGTGTCTTTCTCACATCGATGTTTTTCTCTCTCTCCCTTCCACTCTCTCTGAAAACCAATGGAAAAATCCTCAGGTGAGGATTAAAATAAATAAGTATATATATATATACACACACACACTTATTTTTCTTGCAGCACCAATTATGTTCTCAATACCCCCTACATTCCTGCCCAAGTGTTCAAAAGACCTATAATCCAAACTGTAAAAAACTATGCAATATTAAGTTTTTCTAAGGATCTCACTTTAGTTCAAACTAAAGTAACTATATAACATGAAATATTTAAGCTACCAAATTCTTCAGTTCCCTATTCAGCACTTGATGCAACTTCAGTGTTGTTGTTGTTTTGCATGACTACATACAGGCTTTTTCCCTCAAAACACCTCAGCTTGAGGTATTATAATTTGAAATTTCAGGTTAAGAGAAACCATAATTGTCTTGAGGGCCAGTACAGGATCTTGTACAATCCCACTATTTCACCCCCATGTCTAGATGTGTACCTTGTATATAGTAAGCATTCAATAAGGCTAGAAACTTTTAATTTTTGAATTTCTAATTTTAAAAATTCTATTTTAATAGCTGAAAGAATAACCCATCAAACTTAATATATGTGAATTTCACCACATTTTTTTAGTGTTTATAGCCGCGTATTTTATTATATTGGTAGCTACATTTAATGCGAATGTACATCTTAGACCTTAAACATGTCCAGAAACAACAGGTGAATATATAACTAATGGCTTCACTCATCAGAGAAGTACTGTATTTACTGTTTTATCATTCTGTGGCAGGCATTATCCTGTGGGCTGGAAAACAGCTATGACAGGCTACAGCTGACATCTTTGGCCAGTTCCAAATAGGCCAATTTAGTATTTTACAAAACTCACCATGGGATCTGTTAATCTAAAAGTAGAAGTTCACATGAGCATATTTAAAGTAGGAATGGTGGTATGGAGAAAGTAAATCATTCCATCTTAATTTCCAAACATAAAGGAAGGATATTTTGGCTACTAATCTTCAACCTAACTGGATTATGACAAGAGAACTTGGTTTTTCTATGCCCAATTTTTGAATTTTGTTGAGAACTTGGCTTATGACTTAGAACACTTTGAGCCTTTGTAAATGTTTTGTGAGGGTTTGAATAACACAAGTATTCTGTAACAGGGGTGGGAGAGTTATATGAATCCACTAAATCAAGTGTTATTTAAATCTGTATTTTACCTGCTTGATCTCTTCTACCAATAGACATAAAATCATCCACCACAGTTGTGCATTTGTTGATTTCTGCTTGCAGTTATGCCAATTTTTGTTTCCTGTACTTCATATTATGTATATGCAATAAGTTTATGGTGACCCTCTTTATCTCTAATAATAATTTTGGCCTTATGGTGTATTTTATCTGAAATGGACCTAGTACTCTATTAAGTACATTTACATTTGTAATTACTGATATGTTTGATTTCTACCATATTATTAGGCTTTCCCATCTCCTTTCTTGACTTACTGAATTTTCTATATTCTTTTTTCCTCCTTTACTGACTTGGAAGTTATATAATCAATTTCCATTCTTGCATTTAGTTTTATTTATTCAGATGGGACTCACTGTGCATCCTGAATTTTGTCTTTTTTGTCAACTCTAGAAAATTCTCAAATATTCTTCAAAGTACTGCCTCTTCTCAATTTCTCTGGAACCCTTATAAGATATAGCCTAGAATCTTTTCATTTTCTTCTTGATATCTTTTATTATCCACATGATGCATCTGTATCTTGCAACACTGTTCTCTAAATGCTTCAGATTTTAATTTACTAGTATCTCTTAGGGTCTAACTCAGCTGTTTAAGTTTTAAAATTTAAGAACTATACTTTTATTTCTAGGAATTCTAATTACTTGGTTTCCAAAGTTGCCTGAGGTTTTGTTGTTGTTTTTGGTTGTTTGTTTTATTCATGTTTTCCATTCCTTTTAATTCACTGAAGCACATTTGCTTTACGGTTTCTAATATTACTATTACCCACAGTTATGAGGGGTCTCATTCTGATATTTATTCTATCTACTTACTCTCACTTCTGGTGTTTTGTAACTTTTGATGGTGAGTTTCTGTTCGGCAGGACTTCGTCTGGGAGAATACTGTGGGATCTGGGTTGAGGTTTTGTCCCTCCATAGAGGTCTTACATTTGCTTCTACCAGGTGCTCCAGGGATATTACCAGCCTGGGAACACTTATTTTTTAAATGTACAAAAATAGAATGAACAATATAATAAACTCTCATGTATGTATTACCCACATTCAATAATAATCAACACAGCCAATCTTGTTTTATCTATATAACCACTCACTGTCCATCTCTCTCCCCTGTACTATTTTAAAGCAAATCCCAGGTGGCACATCGTTTCACTTCAATGTTTATTTCTTTTAAAAGGATTCTTAAAATAATAATAATAATAGTAATCAAGTAATTGCTGCTTAGTATTATCAATAATCAGTCTGTGGTCAAATTACCGATTTTCTCTCTCTCCCTGTGTCTCTCTCTTGGTCTGTCATTCTCTCCCTCTCTCCCTCCCTCCCTCTCCTACTTAAAGTGAGAGAAGGAGTAAGAGAAAGAAATAGTTTGAAGGAGGATCCGAACAAGTCTGGACCTACTTTTTAAATCAGTTTCTCAGCATAAAGTTCCTAGATCAAACTGGGTGGTATAAATTCAAACTATAAGCACTTGTGAGGAGAAGCCTAGGGTTCTAGATTTTTAGGAGATTCTACCAGCCCTACTTTCCCTCTTCCCTCAAGATGAGGACAGGCAAAATTCCTTAACACTTCCTGGTGCCAAGGGGAGTTTTTTTTAAGGCTTCCTTTTCACTGAGAGTGTAGCCCTTCAAGAGTCCCTGGATTAACACAGGGGTCTCAGTTCCAACTTTCAACCTTTTATAGGCCCATGCCTCCCTTCCAGCACTTGGGTGGCAATTAAAATATAAGTCCCTAATGTTTGGTATCTTGTTTTGTGTGGTTGATACATGAGTTTATACAATTGTCGAAATTCAGTGAACATTTAAGATCTGCATTATTTTACTGTATGTAAATTACAAAGCAATTAAAAATAAAAGTTATATTGATATAAAAATCAGCAAATCCTTCCACCCCTCCAGGACAGCATCAGCACCAATTCTTCTCAGTATTTGGGTTTTCTACTTCCCCTGCATTTTTGCTCCTGGGATTCCCTTTACTTTCTTGCACTCTCAGCAGTATGTATTTCAAAGGATTTTTATTGTATTTTCTCCAGACTTTCTTAGTATTTTGTAGTATAAGGGTTAGCAAATTCCCTAGATTAGTGGTTCTCAACCGAGGGAGATTTTGCCCCCTAGAGGACATTTGGCAGTGTCTGCAGACACTTTAGGTTGTCATAACTAGGGAAGTACTGCCGGCATCTAGTCAATAGAGGTTAGGGTTGTTGCTAAACATCCTACAATGAACTGGACAGTCTCCCACAACAAAGGCTTATTTGGCCCCAAATGTGAATAGTGCCAAGACTGGCAAACCCTGGTCTAGATCACCTCTATTGTGGGAATATTTGGCTTTCACTTTTATATTTCACAATGACACAGTATAGCCTTTAGCTACCACTCGGGATGAAAACATCTTGCCTAAAAATTTACTCTAGAATTCCCCAAATAAGAAATTTTTCAAAGTGAAGAACAGGGAAAGAGGAGATCTTAATATATATGTTTTCATCTTTTACATCCTTACAATGCTAACAGATACAAACTACTATTAGATTTCCATGTCCAAATTAATCACAGAACAAATTAAAGGACTTTAGAGCTAAAATTAAGTATCTTAGAAATCATGATTTAACAATGAGTTTATATGCCGGATGCATATATTTGACAGATTATAACTTTACATTCCAATCTAATGTTCACCGGTAAATTACTGTCCAAGTTACTGTCAAGCTGGATTCCCATTGCTGGTTACGGCAATTGAAGAACATCACCCTGAGCTAAATATCCCACTAAAAGTGCTGCTTCAGTTCTCTTTGACTATCTACAACTGCTTAATAGGCTTCTGCTTCAATATTAATGACAAAGCATCTATGGTTTTACTAGACTGGGTAGCAAGATAAGCAAGAATTGGACTTCAAAATGTAGGAAAGGCTAAAGGGACATCTGTAATATTTTAAACAAAAATAAAATTAAAAAAAAAGTGAGAAAGGCTACTGATCTTTATTATTATTATTATTATTATTATTTAATATTTCAGGCATATGACAAGATACAAAGAATAATATAATGAACACCTGTTTTCTTACCAAACATCTTAAGAAATAAAGCATTATAGATATGATAATAGCCCCTGTGGAACTCTCTGGATCCCATTCTCTTTTCTCCCCAGAGGTAACCGCTCTCCTGAATTAGGTGTTTATCACTATATTTGTTTTCATTTTCACATTACATGTACAATCCATAAATAATACGCGGTTCTGTTTAAACCTATATAAATGGTATCAAACATCTTCTACAACTTCCTTTTTGTTACTGATAATTTCCCACATTTAATAGCTATAGGAATGGAATAAAAGGGAAGGAGTAAATGGAATTGCTAAATGTGCTTAGCTTCTCTATCTCCAAAGAGAAACTTATCTGTGATTGGGTTGAATTAGTCCCCAAATGCACCTGCCTACAGTGCTGTGTACCCTTGTCTACTGCATGCTAATGAAACTGGTAACTGAAATTGACACCTTTACAGGCAGAGGCAGAGGAGTGGTCACCAAAACCCACAGGCCCCAGTCCAGCTCTACCATATGAAATCCACTGGTCTAAAGAGTTTTCCTCAGGCTTCTACAAAAGGGTGGCAATCAAATATGAGTAGTGAATTCACTGCAACTGCTTATACACAGGATTTGTTATCCCCACCTATTGTATTTTCCAAGGAATATTAATAGCAGTAAGACACCAGATTTGACCAACCTTTTTTCAGATATAATACATAACAAGTTGGCTAAAGCAGACCACTGAAAACATAATAGCCTTTATTTATAGGTGAGTGAAAGAAAATAAAGCCTAGGTTTTTTATCCCTTCCATTTCAGAAGGTAAGTAAAGGGGTGAGAGAGATAAGAGTAAAAACATGAGCTGGGTTTTAACAGTTCTAAAGATTCAAAGAGGCAGCTCTGAGATGATATATTAGAGTGAGATTTAGACCAGGACACTCCCCTAAGGTAGACAGCTGACATGATTATTGCCCTCTTCCCAGATAGAGTCAAGCTGCTGACATTTTACACCGGGCAAGTTCAGCAGCTGTTACTGAGGTGACAGGCACTTAGTTCTCTAGTGATTCATGGGATGGATGCATGGAGGGGGAGTACCTCAAAGTATACTGCTGATTAGGCTTGTTCAGGGAAAAAGGTGAACACCCTAAAAATATCACCAAAGAGAAAAGGAAATAGGCTTGGGTAGTATTTAGAACAATTTACAGATCAAGCCCAGAAAGCCTTTTACCTTTAAGAAAAAAAAATTTTTTTAAGTAATTCTTCTCTGCCCCACATCCTTGTTACCCCTGTAACAAGAACTCAGATTGATGGTTACTACACTACTTCCCACTTCTGTCCTGAAAGTAGAGTCCCTGAGTGGAGTAGGACCCAAACAAGAAAAGAAGCAGTAGAGAAGCAGCAAGGTAAGATGCCAAGTACAGGAGTGTGTTTCTAAAAGGAAACAGCCCATCAATGTTTCTTTCTCATTGATGTTTCTCTCTCTCTCCCCCTCTCCCTTTCTCTCTCTCTAAAAATCAATAGAAAACAAACACAGAAAAACATACGTAAAACATAAAAAGAATCAATCAAAATAGAATGTTTTGATGTGTTTCTTACCTAATTAGTTAATATGGTGCTCAATGATCTTATACACAATTAAAGTCAAGAGGCTTTGGAATCACAACAGATAGAGGCCAGGGAGAGTTAAAAAATTTCAGGCAAGATGTTTTTTATCATGAGTGATAGCTAGACACAAAGATGAAGGTGGAATATCAATATAGCAGCAATGGAGATTTCAGTTTAATGCTGTAAGGTAGTCTAGATAATTATAAATGGTAGATGCAGTTCAAGCACTAAGGGTCGTGATGCAGCAATGCCCGACTCATGCACTGCAAAGGGAATGCAACAACTTGTTGGGAAAGAGAGAGCACACAAAGATTCAGTGCACACGCTGACTGAAAGGGTGCCTATGAATCACCAAGTCAGACCCACCTCCCAAGTTCACTGAAGTCATGACTGGATGTATTTACAATCCTTATGGCTTTTCCTTACCTAAGTATATCACTGACAGTAATTTCAGGAATAAACTTTTGAAGGTGCTTCACTGTTGCACTGAGAAAACAGGCTTTATACATTTCACTGACTCCATAGGAGAAATTCTGGGACACCAGTTTAATCAGGCCACTGAAAGCAAAGAAAATAAAATCTTTATGAGAGAAAGGAATTCTTTATTACTATTAAACAACTTTACGACTATTAGATGTGGGCAGGGAGGGCTCACATAAATCTAGGCAAAGTCAGAAAAACCACGTATTAAAAGAAAATCAATAAAAGAAGGAAACTTCATCAAAGGAATACTCTCTGAAGTCCAAAGGCAAACACCTTTCAAACTCAAATTACCAGGGAATGCTGGTTTCAAACTAGGATTCTATAAAGCCTGCCAACAAAAAGGCTTTCTGATACAAATGTTACATGCTTTCAAAATGCACCTAAAAGGCATAAGCAGATGTTTAAATCAGGACATTAAAGAAGTAAGATAGATTATTTACCCTACTTTTTTTTTTTATCAGCCAGAGGTAAGATACTCTACTAGTGATTCTCAATTATCTTAATGACAGCAATTTCTCCAGTGGAGCCTATGTATATACTTATTTTTAAAAGCAGACATGCTAGCCTGGCCAGTGTGGCTCACTTGGTTGAGCACTGTCCCATGCAACAAGAGGTCGCTGGCACAATTCCCAGTCAGGGCACATGCCCGGGGTTGAGGGCTCAATACCCAGAAGGGGGCATGCAGGAGGCAGCCAATGGATGTTTCTGTCTCATCGATGTTTCTATCTTTCTCTCCCTCTCCCTTCTCTCTAAAAAAATAAAAAATAAACCCATATAAAGCATATTTAAAACAACAACAAAAAGCACACATGCTTGAAAATTCTATCCCAAACCTGTTTCAGAATCTGTAGAAAGTGAATCTCAAGTATGCCTTAAAAAGCTTTCTAGTAATTTTGATGTGAAACTCTCTGGAGCGCAACACTGCTGAAAGGACCAAAAAACAAAAAAACAAAAAACCTCACTGAGCTCTTACAATACAGTAAAGATTCTGTGTCCAGGGTCAATGCATTGTTATTTTTCCACAAAAGGAAACAACTTTGGTTATCAGCAATTTCTCCAGTGGTTTTCATAATGATGGTGACTGGCTTGAAATCACTTTATCAAAGTGAGCCATCTACTGATTTTGAGAGAAACAATTTTTTTCAAACGCAGCTAGGTTAGCAAAACAGATCTAGATTGTCAGATATATGACTGGGTCTTGTTCTTTTTAACCAAGACTTCAGCCTGGATCATCAGAATTTTCTTGAAGTAGTTAAACATTATGCTTATTCCATAAAGCTCTTAATTTGGATTAATAAAAAAATCAATGTTAATCACAAATGCGAGGATTTACCCAATAAATAGACTATCAAGAAAGACAAAATTTCCCACATTAAAAATATAAACACATGAAATCATTTTTTTTAAGTAAATAAAGTTACCTCTTGGTAATTACATCCATAACATCTCTGGCACTGAAGTCAAAGGGTTTGTAGCCCTCTCGTTTAAAGGCAAGAACTGCATTAGGCCCTAGCCAAATACTGCCATCCATCCTCGGCGTGAAGTGAACTCCTAAGAAAGGAAACCGGCTATCTGGGACCTACAGATTTAACACAGCAAAGAACAGTTAGCCCCACTTCATACTGCATTTTACTATGCATTCAAATAATCAACTGGTAATATAAATCACTTTCTTCCCATGCATTTAATTTGTATTATTTTGACCTGTACTGAGATACATTTTTCATTTACATGCTTCAGCCTAGAAATGCCACATAGGAAACACTGATGCTATTGACACTAACATACACTCCCATCTACTCCTCTTTCTGGGTAAAGAAAAAAAAAAGAACTGCCCTGCTTCAGGTTATTCC